AAAAAAGTTGACCGTCGGATGCTGTTGATGATCAAGCACCGCCATTCTGCGAGAACAAGATAGCTTTTAGAATAAAAAGCTATTGTCGAACAACTCTTATGTGTACAATTGTTGTTCGATGGCAAAACGACCGTATCTAGGATGGTGTCCTTCAGAAAGTGAAGGAAAAACAAATCTCTTATTCATTACGAGATGATGTTAGAGTAATCGCAAAATCATGTTTTGTTTTTGACTTTTACTTGATATTCAATTAGATGATGAGTTTCTTATAATTTCATTCCATTTGAGGAGGCATTTTCAAAACACCATTCCGTCAATTATGAGAAAAGTCAATGCCTCGAGTGGTATTCCTTACTCGAGATAATGCGAGAGCACAATCTTTTCTTAAAATACTGATTCGTTGCATTCTCTTTATTTAAAACATATTCACATGTTTTCACTGAGACATCGTGGCAGAAATACAAAGAAGGCAAAAATCTCATTTTGATAATCGCCATACGCTTCAAGTCTTTGAATTAATTGTGATAGTTATCCCAAAAAATCGAGTAACTACACATGTAAGAACTATCGACAAGCGAGAAAAGCTCTTCGAAAAGTGATTATATAATCTGAGAATTTCACCAATGTGCTCAATACGTCTGATTAATAGCAGTGATTCTAATCAAATAATTTGGATTATCAATAATTATGCTCACTTTGATGGCAATAATCAACGATATCCTACCTTTATTTACTCGAGGACTGATTTCCATGGTCGATATCTAAAAACATGAGATATTTGATGAATATCCATTTTCTCGAATAATTATTGTCTGACCTGTGAAATAATCGAGCTGGCTTCAGTGTGTACGATACTGGCGTCGCCTACTGCAGCTGCATCATTCTATGAACAAAAGAAAATAGGTATAAAAAAAGGACAAAGCACTCGCGAATTGTTTGAATTACTCGAACTCTGCTGGAGCTTTTTCTTCTTGCTTCATCTACGGCCGCTGCAGCCTTGATCGAAGCATCTGCAATAAAAGATCATCATTCTTTTTATAATAGCCTTGTTGTATCATTTTCAGGTATGGTTTTATTTTAATCTTATTCCTAGAGATTTTCTATAATTTAGAGTAATTTTTCATTCATTTCTAATGGTTCCTTATGGCTTATCATAGTTTCTGATGGCTTCCTATAGTTTTCAAGTATTTCTAGTCATTACTCGTATTCTCAAGGCATTGTTATGATTTTTGGTAACTTCTAATGATGTATAATGATTTCCAGAATAAAAATTAGTTTATTTCCCCCTTGATCTAATATTTTTAATCATATATTGAAATTCCACTTCATGATTTCCGTATATCAGAGAAACAGATACTTCCTTTGTAGTGATTTAGAGTCTTCTGATATCGTCTTGCGTCTTTTTTCATATCAGTTTAGCTAATTTATTCTTATATTCTATATGACATCCGCTTGATCTCAAGTTAATTTTTATTACAGATGATAACTTGAGTACTTTACTTAAGTGAAATGCATCTCGAATTAATATTGACTACAAAAAGAAACTATTGGTTTATCGGCACTATCAATTCTAATACAATTTTCGCTGTTGTAAAATCAAAGATTCATCTCTCCCTTTGTGTAAAAGTTTATATACGTTTGCTAATTTAGTGATCCTTCTCTAAGATTTCTAACCTAGATTCCTTATATCACTGATTTATGTAAGCAGTAAAGAATCTAACAGATATGGGTGAAGTGTCTGATCTGTAGGATGTTTTACATATATATCCTGATGTAAGAAGTGAATGCGAGTAGGGAATTCTTTTCTGACTTATTAATTATTCGAGCTTTCGCCTAATCAGCATTAAGAATAATCAGCTGCTGTGTCACTTAACAGATTTCTACATCACTCATATCCACACTCTGTCGCCAGACGACGGACACTCTTTATTGAAGTTTATAGTAATTCATCTAACATGGGACTAAAATAAAGTGCACAGGTCATCGTTCTAAATAACATTTAACTAAGACCAAACAGGTATCTACTTTTGATTTCTCACTTATCCTTATCTTTGTATCATAAAGCAATTATTCCAATAGAAAATACAAGCAAATTCAGTTCGACAAAGATAAAACTTCACTATTCACAATTTAGAGTCGTGATTTAATCTAGTTCATTGAAAATGTATTAGAGAAAGAAATCAGCAGTGTGAAACTTGAAAGTTAAAATCAATTCAACATTCAATTTTCAATCGTCTATATTTTTGTGGCACTTACATTGAGAGAAATGTGTGTAGTTGAAAATTGAATTGAAACTTAAAACCTGAACCTTGAACTGAATTTAACTTTCAAGTTTGTTTACATGATCTGTGTTTATCATCTTCTTCACACATGTCAAGATTTAAGAGCTGAAACTTGAAAAGTTAAAATTAAGGCATCGAATTATTCAAACAGTGAATTCAACTACACAAGTGTTTCATGAGAGTACCTTCACACAGCATCTACCTTGCTGAGCGAGCTACAAACTAGGGTGTGAGGGCACTGGCATGGTACTTTTATTCCGCAACACCTACACCCACCTTCACAACAACATCCACAGAGCTACCGCTACACGTAAGATGTATGTCATTATTTGTGATGGGATTCTGCGGTGTCTGCCGCGTTTATGATGAGATCTCAGGATGTCTATCACGATCTCTAAGCAGCGGTGTGAGATGGTTGAATTTTGTCTGTATATCCTTTAATACCGTTTTCATTAATGGGTGAATAATCATTTTCGAAAGGTTAGTTAATCAGCGAATAATTAGCAATTTATTAGATAATTATTATCTATAAATTAAATATTAATTCAATAATTATTCAATAATTATCCAATGTTATTTAAATAATAATTAAATTTTATTTAAAATGTCTGTCGCGATCTGTGTGGTAGGCAGTGGCGTAGCCAGGATTTTGGGCTAGGGGGGCTCAGCCCCTCAAAAATTTTCGACCCATCTTAGATATATGAAACTTATCTGTTAACTCAATATAGAGTTGATTGTTGTTTATTCTGATTCTTTCCTCAAAATATAAGCTGAGCTAACAAATATAAAATGGCAAAAGACGTTCGATCTTCAGTCAATTGAAATAACAACAATAGATGAAATAAATGTGGAAACCTCGGATTTATATCCGAGACTTATGTGTACTTCAAAAAGTGAATGAGACAAATCAGTCACTCTAGAATATCTGGATATAAAAATTAGCCGGGCAAACCTTTTCTATTGACAGTTGAATTCAATTGGCTACTGTTCAACCAATAGGATTTGGGGATGAATACAGCTCACATTTGAACTCTTTGGTCCCGGACATACAGAAAAAAATTAAACGAATTAAGTAACGTGATTGGTCTATTTCGATTTAAATCGTCTTTTTGAGACGATTTATTCGTTAATTCAGTTTTAATTCACTTTGAATTAGTCGATGTTCGGGGCCTTCGCCTTGATTTACTCTAAGAAAGTCGTTTTCCCTATAACTTGATTTATATTGGTCAGTGCTCAATCGATGGAGCTTCGAGGTAAGTGGAGTACAAATTCGAGTTCTCCATCCCGAAAAACCCTGGAGTATCGCCTTTGCTATCAGAAGATAGAGCTCTAATTGTGGATCAATTAGAGCGTGGACAAGAACAGAACCGATTTCCGTTTATTTATCTTTGCAATAGGTGAGTTAGCTTCCTTATTTCTTGATGTTTTATATACCATTTTGTAGCTCGTGAAATTCTCTATCGAATGGTATATAATAATTGGGGTTTTATGTGACCATGATCGGGAAAGCCTTTTAGAAAAGAAAGGACTGGCTGATCCTCACATAGGAAAGCATAGGGGAAAATAATTATTTTTGCAATAACTCACCAATGGTGCGTACACTCATTCTCATCTTCGGACTCAACCGAGATATTGTTGGGACAATACTGTGTAGAAAATTTCATCATGATTGAACTCTGCTTTCAAAAGTTATCGCGTAAACGGCCGGTCGCTCGGCCGGACACACTGACCGATTCTAGAGTGTACTTACTTTTCGAGTACACAAAAATTTTGCTCTTGAATGGGAATAAATATGCGGTTGAACCTTCTTCTTTTTTGCTCTTTTCTTGCCTATTTAAACGTATGTACTGGAATGGACGAAGAGAACTAGCTTGTAAAAATTAATTTTCTTCGTCCATTCCAGTATAAAAATTCAAATAGGCAAGAAAAGAGCAAAGAAGAAGATTCAACCACATATTTATTCTCATTCAAAAACAAAATTTTTTAACTCTAAAAAAAACGTATTACGTTCGAAACGTTGGTTATAATATATATTGTTATATATTTATATTTACATTTATATATTTTACTCTCCATTACTATGTTAAATTTTTATATAATTGTAAATAATAATTTATATAAAATATTTAATAAATTAAGAAAAAGCTAAATTTTTTTAAAAATGATCAATACAACCTACCTAAGACGTATGACACTTTCATTCTGATTTCACAACAACAGACATAGCTTTACTCTGATAAAAACCAATCACTGCAGCCTCCTGCAAAGCTGAAATAAACTACTCATAACCTAATAAACCTCATTGAAACTTGTATTTGCATTTACTGTATTTTCTTTTATTCAAAGACATATGAGTTGCACAAAATCAAATATATATGTTAAACGGTAAAATTGCAAACACTAATCTATTTTGGTATAAAAAGAATATGTCTTTCTAAAATTTCGCCAGGAGGGGCTCAAAGGTCCGTAGGGGGGGGCTCAGCCCCTCCTGGCCCCCTGCTGGCTACGCCACTGGTGGCAGGATGCGCGGGACAACAGAAGGTGATTCATATTTCCACCCTATATACTTCAACACTCCTTTTCGATCGTGTCTCACAAAACTTTTCACTGTTTTTTGTCGATCTTGATTTACACTCGTTGGCCCTGCTCGTTTCAATATCTGGGACAGAAGCTAATGAACATGAATAAAGAATTTTCTGCGGGAATAATTGGATAATACTAAGAACCTTTTTCACATGAACACATTTCACATATGCGAAATGAATCATTGTTAAGAAATGTGCATCGTGGACATTGCCATTGGAATAATTTAGACGTTAAATCACGTTGATCATCATAGTCCACATATGATAATCGATTATCTGCTGTTGGTGGATTGGAACCTAAAACGAAAAAAGTAATAAATAAAGCTGTTAGCGCAAACATTGTAAGATTAAAATGTGAAACACGATGTAGCTGTTGGTAATCATAGAGAGATTGTTTTTTTAAAATATATTGTGGATACATTTCTTCATTCTGCTTTTACTCAATCTTCCAGAAATGCAAAAAAGAAATAATGAGTATAGGATTACAAGTCGTCATTGATAAACGGCCTCTAATCGCATATCAACAAGTTATGTCATGTTTTGTAATGGTCTGTGACTAGCAGGTATCACAGTCTATAATGGATTGCTACTACGATCGGCTGCCGTAGTGCCTGTCACGGTTTCTGAGAGGGAGAGCGATGGGATTGGAGCGAGTCCAAAGTTTCTACCTTATATACAGTGAACCTCAATTGGCTTTCCCCTATTAGTATTTTTCACTTTTCTTCCCTATAGTTTGTTCTTTTCCTACAACCAAACCCACAGAAAGAAAGTGCAGATTCGACTGCATCTTTTAATATAGGACAATCATGAATCAAATAGAAATCGAAATGAGAAAAACGCATCAAAAGAAAACTTAGTTTTTTTTTCACTACAATCTGCAAAGGTAACCTATTGTATCTCTAGCTTTTCACCGTTCGCATGTAAATAGACGTATGCACGCGCAACTTTTATATGTACATTTGATAGCTCATTGCCAGATATTTCGATCGGCTCTGTGAAAGACTATGATTGAGAATACATATTCGGGATTGATATAGAAATATCATTATGAAATTTAGTCATAACCTGTCAAGCCAAGAACTGAAGTTCAAAGAAACATTGGACTTGTTCTGTGGCTTGTATTTATCCATTCTTTTTCTCTCGTCAGTTTCGTTGCCTATTTCCACGTTGAACAATTAATCCTTGAACATAAATATTCGTGCTCTCTATCTATCGAATGATTTCATACTGTTTCTGTACACTGTTTTCATGATGGCACAATACAATAAATAGACCAGTGATTTCAAACACAACGTTTTGCAGGAATATCGTCATAGAATTTACGGATGTGGGTTCAGATCATTAGCAAAACGTTTTAAAATCAAAGGTGGTCATAGATTAGCGACGAGCTGGTATGCCCGATAGAACGATACAGTTGAATCCTTGGAACCAAAATGGACAGGTGGTCGACCACGTACCATGACAAAGGACCAAGTAACGGATTACATTTTATATTTTGTCCATGAGGTGAACATCCAATACAAACCGGTGAATTACAAAATGGTACAAGAACACGTTGAAAACTCATTAAATAAGCAAGTTCCATTGAAAACTATTCGAAGATACGATAGACAAGAATGTGGCATCAAAAGCAAAACAGCTAAGGAGTTAACCAAACGTGATAGTAAATATTCCAGCTTTATTAGCAGTGAATTTGATCATTGCCTTTCAATGACATTCTTCTAACTATAGCTGATGATAGGTATTGGCATGATATTGCGAAATTTCGAAGACGTTTACAAAGATTGGCTAACGATAGGTTAATATTTATCGATGAAACTGCCGTTTATTGCAACATGTATCCTCGTCGAACTCTTGTGGCATCTCGAAATCAGCATTTAACTCTTGTTGAGAAACTATCTGCTTATTCTCAACATTATAATTTCATTGGCGCCATCAATGGTTTCCAATCAATTTCTTGTACGGTTTTAACACCCAATGACCGAAAAGCAAAAAGTATTGAAGGTATCTGAAAACATGTGGTGAATGATTGGATTACCAATACATTAGCTCCAGCAATTAATGCATTAAATATCGACAATACGCATTTAATTTGCGACAGAAGTCGAGCTCATCACAAAGGAAATATGACGAAAGCATTGAAAAACGCGAAATGTAAATCGGTATTGGAATTTATTTCATGCCAACAGCTTCTGCTAAATACGCATCAACATTAGATAATCCTCTGTGGCATTTCACCAAGGAAGTTTTCCGAAGCCATCATCCAATTACAACAAATAATCTTCTAACGCTACTTTCGGAAACTTTTCTTTCACTATCGAAAAATGCAATCACAAGCGCGTTTCGAAAATGTGCTATTACATATGGAGTTGATGTTTTTTATGCTAAACCATTTTGATGTCATGCGTTTCCTTTTAATATAATTCAGATGCAGCAGCAAATGTAGCGAAAAACAATACTATGTTTTCTTTTGATGCGTTTTTCTCGTTTCAATTTCTATTTCATTCATGATTGTCCTATATCAAAAGATGCAATCGAATCTGCACTTTCTTTCTATGGGTTTGGTTGTAGGAAAAGGACAAACTATAGGGAAGAAAAATGAAAAATACTAATAGAGGAAAACCAATCGAGGTTCACTGTAGCAAGTACAGACGATTTCCCTAATTCTGCGGAAAGTTTTTTTTTATTTTTT